TGTGAGGGTGGTGAGGCCCTGGCACAGGTTGCCCAGAGAAGCTGTGGCTGCCCCATCCCTGGGAGTGTTCAAGGCCAGGTTGGATGGGTCTAGTGGAAGGTGTCCCTGCCCATGGCAGGGTACTGGGTGAGCTTTAAGGTCCTTTCCAATGCAAACCATTCTGTGATACACAGATCTGTATGTAGTTTGGTTTCATTTCACATGTTTAAAGGCTAGATTTATGGGTGAGTGATTAGGCCCTGCATTGAGGGAGCACTTTAAAATTTCATATTCTGTTGTGTTTTGCAGACAGAATGTAATTTTCTCAACAGTTTGTGAACTAAAGACAATTTTGTATTGAATACGTAGGAAAGATCCTTGGATAAAGCACAGACTGGGACCTGTCCAACATTAAGTATAACCTTCAAATCATTTGCTAATAACCATTTGGTTTTACCTTGCAACACCATGTTGCTGGAAGTGAGTCATTGAGGTTTCTGCTCTTTTGGCTAGGCCTGATCAATTTTAAATCTTGAAAATGCTAGATACTGAATATATTGCATCTTGTGGGTCACAGTTGGAAAACTGAAAGAGGGGAAATTGAAGCTGAACAGTGAGCAGTTCCTTGAATAATCACTAATTTACCCACTGCTTCTGTGAAGAAACATTTTTGAGTACTCCTATTGCAATGGGACTGTCAATCTGCCTTTGCAAATAACCCTCATGACTTCCAGTGTTGCATATGCAATGTAATCATCAGGCAGTTTAAATGAGGATAGGGGAGGATAGGGATTAAAACTGTTCAAGAGGATTTAAGTTGTTGATAATCACTGGCAGGTGTCCTTGTGACAGATGGCTTAGGTGATGTCAGAGGTTTTGCAGCAGATCAGGAGAGAGCTTGTCTTATTCTTTGCTTCCCAAAGCCAGCCTGAATGTGCACTGGGGTGCTTTTTTGCTGTTCTGGCAAGGTGCCTTTGCGGTAGTGCATAGCAAAGCAAATAAAGATGAAAACTAGCATTTATGGGAATTTGAGATTAATAAACGTGCAGCTGCAAACAACTTTTTTTATTATATCAAAGGTGTTCATTGAAGAGATGGAAAGTAAACTTCGTCCTTGTTAGTGTACTTTCCTACCTGTTTGGTGCTGTTAATGGGCAACCTTTTATGTACTACATGCTTGAATTCAGTATAGGACCTTCCTCTTCAGAACAAGTGCCTTTGTCTCATTTTAGCATAGGTAAAGTGTAGTAAAGAGTTTAAGTTGTTGCTACAGATTTTTTGTGTGGATTCAGGAGTCCTGACTTTGCTGTTCCCTCATAAGCACGCATTGGCTCTGCCTTCTGTTTCAGTCCAGTGACCATTAAGCCAAGTCTGCCTTAATTCCACTGGTGTTACCTTGCTGACGACACACTTTCACAGCCAGTGAAGTTCATGCATACACATGTTAAACGCAAGTTTATAGGCCAAGCATAATGTTTGGAGTTCCTTCACGCTCAGCTTTTGAATTAGCCTTCTGGGTGCATCATCTGCTTTAGTAGATATCTACAAAGTAGATGCAGAGAGAGTCAGATATTTCATATCAACACAAAGAAGTATGATAAGATACATCAGTTCTTAGTGGCTAAATTTACAGGCGCAGATGGACCTCAGTGTAAGCATTCGTAAATAGTTTTGCAGTCTCTGAGGAATCAAGTCTCGTAATATCTTACCAGTCATTTAGCACCACTTGTTTGTCCTCTTTAAGGTGATGGAGGAAGATCAAAAAGTGTTTGTTGAAGTCTGCCGTTACAGCTCACCTTCCTCTAGCTGTGATGTGTTTGCTGGTGTACAAATACTGGCAGGTATTGAAGGTCGTGTCTTTTTGATGCCATTTTGCCTCAAAATCCAGCTATTGACATGTTCTAGTTCCTCTCCTTTTGTTTTCACCAAACGTTGCAGATTTCAGTAGAGAGTAGATATCGGATGTGCTGAAAACAAACCTGGTGTGGAGTTACATCCAGCAAAGGGATAAGCAGGAAGAAAGAATGAATTCGTTAAAGTATGGAACATACTGTGTGTATCATGTGATAGGAAAGTATCCTGAGTACCTCATCAGCCTCACAGCTCCATACCAGCCAGGATCAAAATAATTTTCCTCACATTTGAAAAGCTTTAAGCAGTAATCCGTTGAACCTGTCCAGTGCAGATCACAGGATTCCCACAGATGTGCCAAAAGATTGGCAATGAAGAGTTCATGCTTCGTCATTGGCAACAGATCCCTTTTGCAAAGAGGAAGTTACTGTCATTGTTCACGAGGGTGTTGAACATATTCTCCTTCAAAACCTCCTTGCCCAGGGTGATTATCTACTCTTACTAATGATAGTTTCCGATACAGAGGCAGCAGTGTTACCATTAGCGATCTGTTCAGTAAAAGGGGACAGTTCTCTGGAGTGCCTCCAGGTAAAAGGTTTTGTTGTTTTTTGTTTTTTGTTTTGTGAAAGATATCCTTGACTTGCTTTCTTCACAGTGTGAAGTGCTCAGCATGACTAACCCTTTTATTTATTTTTCCCCAGTTCTTTTTTCAATGAGTATTAAATATTTAGATGTGAACATTTTAGAAGTGACTGCTAAAACAGATTGACTTTCCTTACTCAGACCCTTCAAAGTGAAACACGAGTCCCTTTTTTTATTCAGCCCAGATGGTATGCTTCCTAAAGTGAGCAATGTGTTGCAGTGAAAATGGACCACTTCTATCCCCTTCTTCCCTTCCTCCTTTACTTAACTGCAAGCGTCAATGTAGCTCATATTTGGGCTGAATTCAAAATTAGTCAGAGGATTCAGGGTAGATATGTCAACTATTGGAAAGCCAGCTCTGCCAGATTGAAGGAATTTCTGCCTATGCCTAAAGGCAGCATAGCAAGTTGGCTGCACAAAACCTGACATTGGTATGGACCTTGTTAGAAAAATGGAAAAGATCATAGAGTCCCAGGGACATCTTCCGCTAGACCAGGTTGCTCCAAGCCCCGTCCAACCTGGCCTCGAACACTGCCAGGGATGGGGCAGCCACAGCTTCTCTGGGCAACCTATGCCAGGGCCTCACCACCCTCACAGGGAAGAACTTCTTCCTGATACCTCATTTAAATATCCTGTTAGCTTAAAGCCATTCCCCCTTGTCCTATCACTACAGGCCTTTGTTAAAAAGCCCCTCTCCAGATTTCATGTCGGCCCCTTTAGGCACTGGAATCTGCTCTAAGGTCTCCCCAGCTAAACTAACCCAGCTCTCTCAGCCTGTCTCCATAGGAGACAGATCTGGTATCCATTATTAGCTAGAAAATTGCCCAAGTCTAGATGAGGGTTTCACATTAGTGTTGTCAGCAGGATTTTTTTTATTTTGAATATGCACAGCTTCCCTGGGGGAGTGGAGTGGGTTGGATGAGAGATGCGGGTATGAGATAAGAGAAGAAGGTAGCAAAGAGCAGCAGGGAGAGATCATAGAGTCATAGAATGGGTTGGAAGTGACCATCAAAGGTCATCTAGTCCAACCCTGCTGCAATGAGCAGCAACATCTTCAACTAGATCAGGTTGCTCAAGGCCACATCCAACCTGTCCTTGAATATCCTAGAACTTGTAATAACTTTTGTTAGAGAGAATTTATAACTTACAGGAAAGTCTTACTGATCTGAAAGCTGTTTTTTAGGGGGAGTGTGGAGAAAGGATTTAGGTTCTGCTGTTGAAGCTCTTGGATGCTTTATGACCAATCCATATTTGGCTAATTCAGGAGTTTCTGGAAAGCCTCATGCTCACAGGCCCATTGTTTTGGCAGCTGAATTTTCAAAAATGCCTGTACAGAGTGGGTTCCTCCCTGGGCCTGCAGGAACAAGCATGGAAAGGGTCTTCCCTGAGAGTGCTGATCCTGGCAGCTGTGATCTGCTCCGTGCCCCATGCAGCCCTAAAGTGTGGGGCCTGCTGGTGTTGAACCAGGTGTTTAGCATGAACCTGGTGTTGAACCATAAAGATTTGCAGGCAGGTGGCAGGAGGAGGGATGTTTTTGTGACGCCTTCACCCTTATGTGCAAAGGTTTCTGCTTCTGTTTTTTGTAATACGGTCAAGTGCATGTTGCGTAGCACTAGTCTGGAACCTGATAGAGGAAGACAGAGGGAAGGATATTCTTTCTTCATCTGCTGCCTTGCCTTGCAGCTTCCCTCCAACTTGACAACAAGACATGCCATTTTGTTGCCTATTAAAACCACTGAGTGTTGTCATCTTCTTTCACTGAACTCTGTGTTCTTGTGATATCAGCATTCCAAAAGTAATGGAGTGGGAAACATGGTAGATTAAAATGGCTGACTAAAGCTGTGTTTAATCCTGAATCTTGAAGGCAAATCTTTAGGTTTCCCCCTTGTGCGGTTTTCTTGATGTATAGCATCCTACTGCTAAACTCCCTCTACCTGGCAGACTCTTAGAGTGCCAACTGCCTTACTAGCCTGGGGACAGATGTCCAGGGGACTGGATAAATACCAAGAACCTCAATTCTAAGTTAATCAAAAACGTAGTATAAGTTAGTCAATATGTTATGTAGCTCCTCCCCCTTGAGTAACAGCAGAAAAATACTCTGCAAAGCTAAGTACTGATGTTACAAAAGCTTGAGAGTATGAAGGTGAATTCCTACAGCCTTGTCCATTTGACTTGTGTTTTAGACTGACCCTGTGAAGGAGAGATCTTTCTTTGTATTTTTTAACACTTGGCTTTGACCTGAGGATACACAGAAGGCTGCACGTGTGTTCCTGGAAAGAAAATATCAAGAAAGAAATCTGTGAAGTGGGGAGTGTGAATGGAGAGCAGCTAAAATGATTATTTAGGGAAAAGAAAGTACTACTGAGTACCATGCTCAGGAGAATGATAGGCTAATGAGAAAACTACCAGGGTCAGGATCCATTTGTCTTGTCTTCGTTCAGTCACCGATGAACACCTTGCTTAGTAATTGCTTTTGCTGCCTCTTTTAAAATCCCCTGTAAACTTTTCTGTTTTTTTCTTTGTCTCAGAGAGCCAACTGTTGCCTGGGAATAACTTCACAAATGAATGCAACATTCCTGGAAACTTCATGTGCAGTAATGGGCGCTGTATCCCGGGGGCCTGGCAGTGTGATGGGCTGCCAGACTGCTTTGATGACAGTGATGAGCGAGAATGCCGTAAGTGACATTGCTATAACTTTAACGTGCTTAATATTACAAGGCTTGGCTGCGTATTGTTACCAGTGTACTCTGTAGTGTGTAATAGGGAAGTAACAAAACTACTACCAGTTTTTTAATTTCGTCATTCTTAGAAGAAGATGTACAGCCTTCCTTATTATTTCAGGTCTTTAACATTCTTCAAAGTGTCCAGTTTTAATACACCACTTGGTAGCTGATACCTAAACCCCTAGTCACAGATGGATATATTGAGACAGACTTGATTTACTTTCTTTCAGTGGAAGACTGTGGTTTTTAGGGGTCATGTGTATACTGTTCCAGCACACTGGCCTAGTGCTTGAAGTTGACCTCCACTGTCATCAAGACTAGTTCCTTTCATTTCAAAATCATTGACTGTATCCTATTATTTTTGATCTCTCCTCTCAAAATGTAATTTTGAACCCTTTGAAACTTAATACTAACTTTCTGTAAAATAGACCAAATGAGTTGATTAATAATATTTACATGTTTTAATCCTTTCTACAATACTACTGGTTCTAGGGAGCTAAAAAAAGTCTGATCTGGTTCTCCTCTGTGATTTCATCTTTTTCTTAGCATTAATTAAGGTTCAGTTAATGTTATTCAGCCATTATTTAGCATTAAACTTTCCAGCCTATATGTTTTACCCAGACAGCAAGATGATGCTGCAGCATAATGCTAGGATTTAAAATCCAGCTGGCAGTGCAAAAAACCTTAAATTTCATGGGATTCTAGAGTGACTGAGAAATTTCTGAGAAGTTACTGCTTTTCATCTGACCAGTGTTGCTCCTTCACATATATACTTTATGGAGATTTTTGTTAAACTGAAGTTGAGTTGTAAGAAGCTTACCCTTCCAAGACATCATTAGCTTTGCTTATGGAGCAGAAGGAAGAAGGAATAGCTTCTGCCAAACTACCTGGCTAGAAATACCATGTTTTGTTAAAACCTCTTGCTTCTTTAAAACGATACCTTCTCTTTACCACCAGTTATCCATCCCTTTTAACATAAGGGGGCTTTAATAACTGTGCTGTGGAAATCTCCATACATAGTTTTCCTTTAAGCCAATGAGCTTTTCTCGCTTTCTAAGGCATTAAAAGTATCTGTATCAAATATCTGAAGCTTTGCAGTCTCTATAAGGCATCAGGCTTGTATTGCAACAGCAGGAAAAAAAAGTTAAAAAAATTAACCTGTCTCGCTTAGATTTTACCATAGAATCACAGAATGGTTTGGGTTGGAAGGGACCTCGAAGTTCATCCAGTTCCAGCCCTCTGCCACAGGCAGGGACACCTTCCGCTAGACCAGGTTGCTCCAAGCTCCATCCAGCCTGGCCTTGAACACTGCCAGGGATGGGGCAGCCACAGAGTCTCTGCACAAGGACCCTGTGACAAACAAGTGAAAAACGGATCAAAAGGTCAGTTTACCATTTTGAGGTAAATGGGTTATCTTTAATGCTGACCTTTATATATACCTGCTGACATATTCCTTGGGGCCACAGCATCCCATTGTTGGAAGGATTCTCTTCTTGAAATTTAAGAATATGCTAATATTCTTAGTTAAGCTCATAATTTACTCTTGTCATCTTTGTTTCCTATTTCCTTTGCTCTTTGTACATCTTTATATTAGGTTATTACAGAAAGAACAAGGCAGACACTGCGAACAGCTTTTGTCAGCTAATGAGCAGCAGCTAGTGAGTGGTGGCATGTTGCTGCTTTCGTCAGCTAACGAGCAGCAGATGGTGCAGATTCAGAACATGGCACGTCAGCTCTACTAAGTGCCTGCCATGACAGCAGCCAGAATTAGAGCCGCACCAAATACCCAGAAGTCTAGATTTTCCTTCGTGACTCGGAGCCATTTCTTACATGCCAACTTTGCATGTTCAGCTATGAGCAAATAGCATCACACTGTGACTACAGTGACTAGCCCTGTTAAGCTAGGGACTGTGTGCTGAAAAAACATCCAATGCCGGGATAGCCTGGGGCAGTGTGTTCTCATGTTAGGAACCTCTGCCTATCATGTGTTTCAGTTCCCACTTGTCAGTGTGGATCACTCAACACAAAGATAAAGATAAAGCAGGTTTTTGAGTCAATTGCTAAAAGGCTGTGTGATTTGAGTGTTGAGATGTCTGTACAACAGGGCATTATCCATGCTTCTAGGAATGTACTGCCAACACACTTCCACACTGGCTAGCCAGAGCTGGCTTCTGTAGGATGAGGGGTGATGGTTTTAAACTGAAAGAGAGGAGATTCAGAGTAGATGTGAGGAAAAAAAAATTGTAATGAGGGTGGTAAAATACTGGAACAGGTTACCCAGAGAGGTGGTAGATGCACCATCCCCGAAGACCAGTGTAATTGCAGCAACTTGAATACTTTCAGGCTCTGCCTTCCTGCTAAAATGTGTGAAATGTTGGAAGTGTGGGGCTTGTGGGGTTTATTAAGAGTATGATCTGGGATTTAACTCTCCCTCTAAAAATGACTAAGTCTACCTTTATGGTACCCTCCCTTACACTAAATCTCCATCTAGTGCTTTTTAAATGGCTTTGGTGAAAGCACAAGTCTCTCAGGAAACCTGTATGTAGGTAATATTTTTATACCGAGTGCTTATTGTGGGAGTGTTAGTTTTAATATATGGAAGGGCAAAATCTAACAGCAGGACCAGAAATAAAGAAGAGACAAGCATTCTACCAGAGCTTTCACCCTCAAAGGTTCATGGCAATGAAAATATACAGTCATAGTAGGTTTTGTGTGTTTATGTTAATCGAGGAAGCATTATCATGTGCTAGCATTCCAGGCTTTGAGATGTTATGCAAACAACCACCTTACAAAACTGTACAAAATCAATCTTCAGTGGTCCCATTCGTATTTATAATCCAGTAAATATTTGTGTAAAAGGCTAATGACTTCAAGACTTTTCTTTCTCTAAGTAACTTAAACATGTAGCAGAACATTACAAATTCTTCTATAAAAGTAGTTGTATGTGTTGCAGTAATTGTACGTATACATGTAGAAAACCTCTGGACTTCTGTTCACAATTTATGATTACTGGGTGCTTCTAAGCCTCCTGTTTTTCTTGCTGCTTACTGTAATCTCCTGATTGACGTGGAATATTTGTTGCAGGTATATTCTGACAGACATCAGAATTCTTGAGCAAAGCTGAATATTATACAATGCATGAAATGACCATCTGCGTTACTTTGGAAGATGCTGTAAGCCAGCTGCTGATCTTTTTGTCACTCACATGGCTCTCAAACTTGGAATATGAAACTGGAATGAACTCTTGTTTTCATTCATGATTAAGCAGTCAAGTGCTTAGTAGTTATAATAAGATTTGTAATGATACGACCATGGTGAATGTTTCATTTGAAGCTCAATTACAGAAATTTACACATGAGTAAGGGCAAGTACAGTAACTACTTACATTTGGTAGCTTTTTATGTAAGGGTTTGTGATGCTAATTATTTAATCCTTTTGATAGTCTGCTCTAGATGTGGGGGGGGGGCAGTAAATAGCCTGATTGGAGAGCTTAGAATGAGGCAGGTTTAACAGCTAGGTGAAATCAGTGGCGTAACTGAAATAAAAGTCAGGTAGGTAGTAGTCCAGGATGGAGTGAGGGATCATAGCTCATCAGGTATGCAGAGGTCCTCTGAGGAAGGTTGCCCCTGACACTGAAGTCCCTTGAGGGTAGCATTCTGTCCTGACTGAGCTCATCCTGAATAACTTGACAACTTTGAAGTAGTACTTAATTTTTTGGGTATACCAGCCGACTTAGAATTTGTCCTTTTGTGTGATAACTTCTAAAATACTACTTCTAGTGAGAAATCACTTTATTGAATGTCTGCAAAACAAGCTTTTTGTCTGTGTTCTCTTACGACATCTTGTGTGCTTTGTGATCACTTTAAAGGACTGAAACATAGACTTCTAGATTGTGAAGGAGTACTTTAAGGCCTTACTGTCTGGCAACAAGTAAAGCCACTGACCCATAGTAGTCCAACTCTGAAATGCTTTCTTTTTTCCCCTTTTCAAAGGAATTAGTTTACTCTTCATGGCAGCAGACTCCATTGGCTTTTTTACTTCAGCATTGTCCTTTCTCTCAACGTATGCTATAGTGTAAATATTGCCCATGTAAGTGCGTGATAGTTTATTATGTTGGAGGCAAATTCTCGTGTTTCCTATGGGGCTAATTTTGCTACATAAAAACCAAACAAAACCAAAAAACCCCCAAAAATTCTGTCTTTGAAATGAAGTACTTTTTTTAGGCTCACTTTCTTTGAGTTTATGTTAGTAATTTATGACTAGCAACTCTTTTATCTGTGTGGCTAGCCAGGGAGCAAAGGCAAGAGTAACCCAAAGGCTTTAGTAGGTGTAATGAATGTTCTACAGTTCACTGTTTTTTTGGATCAAAACTCATTAAATTGTGGACCTGTTGGAACAAGTCCAGAGAAGGCCACAAAGATGCTCCGAGGACTGGACAACCTCTGCTTATAGAGGCAGGCTGAGAGCTGGGCTGGTCCAGCCTGGAGAAGAGAAGGCTCCTTAAGGGGAGACCTTAGAACAGCTTCCAGTGCTTAAAGGGGCTGACAAGAATCTGGAGAGGGGCTTTTGTCAAGGGCCTGTAGTGACAGGACAAGAGGTAATGGCTTTAACCTGACAGAGGGAAGATTGAGAGGAGACATTAGGAAGAAGCTCTCGCCTTGTGAGGGTGGTGAGGCGCTGGCACAGGTTGCCCGGAGCAGCTGTGGCTGCCCCATCCCTGTCAGTGTTCAAGACCAGGTTGGACGGGATTTGGAGAAACCTGGTCTAGTGAAATGTGTCCCTGCCTGTGGCAGGGGGTTGGAAACTGGACGAGGCTTAAGGTTCTTTCTAGCACAAGCCAGTCTGTGATTTTATTGACTTCTGCAACAGTAGAATATTGGGAGGATTTTATACTGGGAATAATACTCACGTATTAGCTTTTTCTAGGTGGGAAATAGCTAGCTGAGAAGTGAAACTTCTCCATGTCTGCAAGACAGCCCTGTTGAAGGCCCCTGTGATGCATTTCCCTTCTATGCTGAGGCAGCTGAATGACCGCAGGTAGTGGTGGCTTTCCCACTGGGAACTGAACTGAAAATACTGTGGAGTCCAAACAGTAATTAACAAGCCCAAAATAATGTTAGTATTAACTGTGTTATGGTTTATATCAGGTTTTGGGGTGAAAGAGATTGTATCCCAGTGCCATTCTGCTGTGTTCAGTGTTGCAAAATCGATCCTCTGCTCTGTAAATTCAAGTTAAAACCTGTTTTTCAGAGTTGAAAGATTAAGATCTAACTAGTTTGTGTCGAAAGAGTTGTTAAAGGTATCTCAACTTTACCATGTTGAAAATAATATTTTTAATTCCATCATGTGGAGTCTTTACTGAAACACTGCGCCTTGCCACGCATGCATCAAGAGAGACCAGATTTACAGCACTGCCTGATGTGGCTGTGACATTTCTCGACATCAGTTAATGACAGCAGAGAAGTTTAAAGTAGTTCATTATCAAAGTCAGGAAAATACCTGTGGCTCTGCAATAATGCAGCATCTACACACAATGGTTTCTGTCCAGGGAGCTGCTCTTCTTGCATGCAAATAATCAAGTTTTGATTAGCTGTATAAGTCATCATCTCTTGTTGAACTGAGACATGTGGGTGTGAAGTGGTATGAAGTTATTTTGTGTGATTGCTACCTGAGAGGGTGCTAAGGCAACAATTTGACTTCAGAGGTACTGATGCTGAAATGCTGTGCAGTTTACTTCTAGCTGCAGGTTGTCACAAATGTCTGCCGCGGTGTATCTGCTACAACCCCTTTCCTTCACTCCAGATTGCAAAATAACTGATAAAAAAAATCAAAATAGAAACCTTTGTAGAGTTAAAGAAAGGAAATGTGTTTGTCCTGGTGGCCACATCATGTTGGGTGCCTATAGGTGTGATAGGCTGGAGATGTGAACTGTCAGAACAGTGATGATTCAGTCGTCAAGTTTCTTCCCTAATGTTTCTATAGCAAGACTTACGGAAAAGAAACTCAACCTGTCATATATGTGTAACATCTTTAAGCGTTGTATCACTATAGTGAGGAATAGCTCTCACATTTTACTCTGATGCCTAAACAGTAGGTTAGTATTTAGATATGACAAGAAGTCGGGATATGCCATCTTGTCCTGGCTATATTCCCCAGTTCTGTAGTCCACAACTGCACTTTACTTGCTGATAATTATAGAAGACGTTTGATGCCTGTGCTCTATCTGTGGAAAGAAAAATCACTTGCCCATCATAGATCTGCTGTAACCTTCTAGTTGGGTTATAACTATTTGTACACAATCAAGAATGTCAGAATTGCTTTTGTGCAATGGGGTGTATATATACGTATATAAATACATATACATACAGCATAAAGTTTTACATAGTATATGCAAAATCTGATTTTTTTTTTTCCCTGCTGCTGTTCATCTCTGCTAAGAAATTATAAAATGGATTACAGTTTTCTTAAAAAATAGAGCCTTTTCACACTTTGTACCCTAAAGATAGCATTAACAGAAAACCATTTTGCTGTAGAGCTCTGCCTGCAAACTCTCACATCTTCAGTAGAAGGTACAGCTGGTCCTAATGGGAAGTTACTATTTTTTTTAGAGCCTTAAAGGAAGGGGGTGGTAAGATTGGTTTCTGCATAGCATAAGGAGTGACTTCACACATTCACACGTACAACTTCCAAAATAGTTTTCTTCAAAGAGGGGAGATTTAGACAAGATGTCAGGAAGAAGTTCTTCATCCCCTGTGAGGGTGGTGAGGCGCTGGCAGAGGTTGCCCAGAGAAGCTGTGGCTGCCCCATCCCTGGCAGTGTTCAAAGCCAGGTTGGATAGGGCTTGGAGCAACCTGGTCTAGTGGAAGGTATCTAGGGGGGTTGGAACTGGATGAGCTTTAAGGTCCCTTCCAACCCAAACCATTCCATGATTGTACAATTTAGGCTTGGGGCAGTGACGGGCAACAGGCTTCCATGCACAAAGGAGATAGTTGCTCTTGTTTTCTGTGAAGTACGACCCTCTTAGTACTGTTCCTCCAATGATCCCAGGCTAGTCAATTCACATGGGTCTTTAGTTAGGAGTATCTTGCTTGCTAAATTTACACACTTGTACTCCAGAGTGTTGAGCAATTTAAATTTGCTTTGAGAGGTTATTTTAGTCAAATTTAAGTTTGAATGTTTGAGTCATTCTGTAAATCATATAAACTAGAAAAAAAAAATCAACCCAAGCAAGTAACATCTCACAAACCTTAAAGCATTTGAAAGCATGCCATAGGAAGGCACCAAACACTGGTGCCACCATTGCTGCCTAGAGTATCCTGTACTGCAACAGAAGTATCTCTAACGTTTGTAAATGCTTTCTTTCATTCTTACCCTCTTATGTCTATATCTTCTGCCAGCAAAAGCCAAATCCAAGTGCGGTGCTACATTCTTCCCTTGCGCCAGTGGGATCCACTGCATCATCGGCCGTTTCCGGTGCAATGGCTTTGAGGACTGTCCTGATGGCAGCGATGAAGAGAACTGCAGTAAGTGCAAGCCCACCTGCAAGTGAGGGCACTTCTGTCAGCTAATTAATAGAACTTAGAAGGGAAGCATTTGTTAGCCTTCAGTTTCTGAGTCAAATATTCTCCCTGTTATTCATGATCCCAATGATCCTTGTGGTTTTCACCTGTTTTTTGTTTGTTTTTTAAAGGTACAGTTCAGTCTTGGTGTGTATATAATGCCTATATGATACTTAAGGCGCGTTTAACTTTGAAATGAGATTTAAGCTGACTGTTTGACTTTGAACAGCGTTTCTGCACTCAGATGTATCTCAAGTTAGCCAAATATTTATTGTGAAAATTTAATTTTTATTTTCTGGTTTTTGTCACTGAAGAATGTGACTTACTTGTTCAGTATCATTTAGATTTCTCTGTTTATGTGTGTTCTCAAACAGTAAAAACCCAAAGGGTTATTTAGTGAATCTCTTTGAAGGAAGGGGTTTTCAAATTCAGATGTGCCTGCCAATGCACTAGTTTGAGGTGGTGTTCAGCATCTTGCAGGGAAGTTCACAGCAGAGAGATCATCTGAAATACCACTTGACTTGGGCTAAACCCTCTTGAGTGCCTATGTAGACCATTTGTATATGTAACTCTAGCAGGGATATATCGTAGCAGTGAGGAAAGGTTGTGTTCAAACCAGCAGCTCTGTTGCTATTACCAGGAGCTGGTAAAAGCGTGGGTCTGTAGGCAGAAACTTGCAGCAGATATTTAATGACATTTAAAGGTCAGGAGGAGGACACCGCACATCAGCTTTCAAAGATAACAAAAGGGAAAAATCTTTATAGTGATATGTCACTGTCTGATTCTTCGCGTTCTTGCTTTTCTTGTTTGTGTGCTTTCCCCAGTGTCATGAACATCTCAAGGTGCCATCTGTTGTTGGCCTGGTTTGGGCCCTGCCAGGACTTTGGCAGTGAGATAGCACCTCTGCAGAGCAAGTGAAGCTAGAGAAATAAGATTGAAGGCTAAGGAAATGACTTTGGGTTATACTTTAAAAAGTGGACTAGAAAGACGTTTCAACAAAAGTGTTTTGAGTATCCTTGAGGTGATGGACTGACAAGTGGCAGATCTCAGTTGAAAATGCACCAGAGTTGGTTATGAATTACATAAATTCCCATGAGCTTGTAGTATATAATAGCTCCAATGGGACCTTGCAGCTGATAATAACATGCTGCTGATCTCCCTGTTTCCCTGTGCCTTTTAAGCATGCATTTGGCATTTTCTGGTATATCCAAGTGTCTGATCTCTGTTTTGCTTACTTAGAGGAACAACACTGTAGGTCCTAAAGTGACCTGGAAAATTAATATGCTATGCAAGTGTGCAGTGGTTTCAGACCGAAGGACACTCGGCATGTTCATGATAAATGTGCTTTGGGGGAGCTAGAGAATTGGGGGTGTTTGTTATATATGTTGCAGGTTGTATGCAAGGCAGACTTTAAGGTTTGCTTTTTAGATGACTCTTTAAAGAAAGATCTGACCTCAAAGAATAAAAAATAGGCAGTAAGTATTTCGGCATTGTAGCCCCCTGTGTTATTGTGGCAGAGAAGCACTTTGAAGCAGATAAGGCATCTAAACAGCTTTAAGATTTTCAATTGGAAAGTCGCATTCTGTTTCAGTTGTCTTATTACCAAAAACTGGCAGGAGTTCAGATAAGAGTGCCAAAAACAATTAAGAGACAGAGAGATTGATTTATGAGGAGATACTAAAAACTGCTCAGTTATGCGTATCTCTGCTAAGTGATGACGGTGTTGGAAGTTAAGGCTGTATATGTGCTGCATATGAAGGATGCAAATGCTGTTCAAGAAGGGATTATGTAGTTACATATGCTGGGCTATAGCTAAGAGTAGAGGGATGAAATTAGAAAAGAGAAAATTAAGATGAATATCAAGAGGACCTCCTTGACAGTGAGATGCATTGATGCTGTGATGTAATCTGCTAGAAGTATTGAAAACTGCACTGCTTGAAGCTTTAAATGGACCTAGACATAGCATCTTGAAGAATGTTTACTACTGGGTTTGGAATGGGTGAGAAGACTATTCTACCTAAACAAGTCTGCTTTAATACTGTTCTGGTTTTGCTCTGTATGCAACACTGGGCCTTATGTGAAAGGATTTTCTGGGTGCTACTGTAATGTGCATGCATGTTACCCTTAAGAGGGGTTGAAACTCAAACACTGAAAAATTGAAAAATATCTACATTGCCATTCTATCAATTCAAAACAGTGAGGAGAATGGGGAAGGTAGAAAAAGACAGAAGCAGAGGTAAATAAAGCACAGCTTAGCAGTTCTCGGCCAGGGTTGTTGGCTTGTAGTCTGAAACTTGAGCTAGACAGTTTGTTGCAATAGGAAGCAGCAGGCAGTGTTTATGGTAGGCAGTGCTGCCCTCCTTGTCTTCAGTGTGAGCAAATGCTGAGCAGTGATCATGACAGGGGCTCTCATGAGAGTGAACAGAAGGCTTATCACAACTGTGGGTGGACTGAATCCCTGCTAATGGTAATGAATCCTGCATAAATTAGGAATTTCATCTCTCTCTCTTTAGAGAGACAGGGTTGCTTTGATTGCCAAGCTACTCCCACATATTCAGCGAATTGACCAACTGTTGAGTTGTGACCTTTTGTCTTTGATTGCTGAAGGGCTGTTTCACTGCCTGGGTAAGTGAACCTCTAATGGAAGATTTCACTCTTTTTGCAGCAGCCAATCCCTTGCTTTGCTCTACTGCCCGATTCCACTGTAAAAACGGTCTTTGCATTGATAAGAGCTTTGTGTGCGACAGTCAAAATAATTGTCGAGACAACAGTGATGAAGAAAGCTGCGAAAGCCCCCAAGGTAGGCACTGGGGTTTGATTCTATTCTGCAATATTATCCCAACTCCAATTAATGCGGAATACAGGCTCAATAGCAAATATGATTCTGTTGGCATTCTCTGTGGGCTAGAGCTGTGGTTTCTGAATTCTGCAGCTAATGAGTGAGATGTGGAGTGTGTGTGTGCACACACTTCATGCTTAGTGCTCAGAAGACTGGAATCTTTTTCAGATGAGTATAAATGCACTTTTGCAGAAAGTATTTGTAATCTATGATCCAGTGCTCACTGAAGTTGCTGGGAATCCATTTAGTGGCTTTGAGGAGATGTATTGGACCCAGTGGGATGAATAGTAAAACTTTGGTTTGAAAGTAGTTCAGTAGTCTGTCTGTTTACTAGATGAGTAAATCTGTGTAGGCTTAAAGCTTTATATTGTCGCTGCTCAGTTACTTCCTGAAAGGCGTGTTTGTGGCAGGACAAATATGCAGTGAAAAAATTTATTCCTGCCTTGCCTTGGGTTTGTATTTAGAGAAGAGGATGAGGATGGCAAAGAAAACCTGTTTGAAATTAGTTGTGTATTAATTCTTGTGAGAATCATGGAATACTAGAATGGTTTAGATTGGAAGTAACTTTAAAGACTATCTAGTTCCAACTCGCTGCCATGGGCACAGACATATTCCATTAGCCCAGGTTCCAAGCTCTGTCCAGCCTGGCCTTGAGCACTGCGAAGGATGGGGCATGAGCTAGGGAAATAAGGAACATCAGGCCAAAGGGGTAAAAGTTGAAAGATTCTAAATCTGCCCCCTTTTTAAATCAATAAAGGTTTGATATATCCAAATAATTGGAGACAGATTATTTTATAGGTTAGAAATAATCATATTTTATTTGCAGAGTTCTTTCTGTGGTTTAAAGCCAATTTTGTGCATATGTTTGTGTCCACTTTTAAGTATCTCCATTTTAAGAATCTCAGTGCAATGTCTCTTTTTTTTTTTTCTTTCCTTTTTAACTTATAGTAGCAGTCTACATGTGGTGCTCCTCCATTTGTTTTCTGTAACTTAATACTACAGTATGTTATAAAACATGAACCATATATAAATGATTTGAGGTTAGCAAACGATTAGGCAGCCTCAGAAGATTAATGTGGGTGCTAGGGTTTCTTGTTTGGTTTCTTTTTCTGTTTTTTGCTCCTTTGGCTTCTGAAGCTTAGAGCAGCAGTGTTCTTTTCAAAGGTTGGGATGAGTGCTTCCTCTGCAGATTAGTTGCCTGGCTTGCCTCCAGTTTGATTGTTGTCATGACAGTCTGCTTTTGGAAGTGACTGTCAAGCTCATGAGAAGAAAAGAGCTGGATTTCATGGAGTTGTTACTTCTGTCTTTATGTTTGGTCCTTCTGGAAAGTCAGATTAATAAGAGGGTTAAGCAAAGTAATTCTGATTCTAAACCCAGGAAAGAAAGAGCCCCCAAGAAGAAAGAAGGAACTCTCTCATTAGGACTAGAACTTTTTGAGCTGGTTTATTTTGGGGGGGGGGGGGGGGGGGGTTGGGGTTTTTGGTTGCTTGTTTTTTTGGGGGTTGGGTTTTTTTTTTGGTGTTTTGTGTTTGTTTTGTTTTGTTTTTGTTGTTTTTTTTTTTATTATTAGTATTAAAAGAGTCCAAGTACAGAGTTGGGAGTAAGGAGCTCTCAAAAGGAATTGCTGGTTGTGAGGAGTGTGTGTGATTGCGTTTGGTGGCTTTAGAGCCTCCCTGAACTGCCATTTCACCATCTGTAAGTGGATGAGTCTTATGTACCTGTCTTTCACAGCAAGGATTAAACAGTATAACATGCTCTGCTTCCCATCAGAATGTAAATGACAATTCCCTCTGGTTTTTGCAACTATGGGTATGTCTGTCCTGGCTGCCAAACACAACAACTGCTTTGTGTTAATAGGGATTTAGAGACTGCTGTGGACAGTCTTTCATTTCTTATAATTCTTTATACAGCAGATCTAATTACTGTAATTACAGTGTGTTTTGTGTTAACACAGTACCCAAGGTCATTAGCTAGAACTCAAGTGTTCTGGGTACTTGGGGACAGAGCAAAGCAAATCTGTAGGGTATTATGAAAGCAAGATAGAGGGTTTTCTTCCCACTAGATGTGTTGCCATGTTCAGTGTAATAGAGTGTAGTCTGACATACAAGATAGAAAAATAGCACAAGGGTAATCTAAAAATGTGTTGATTTAGACATCACTGAGCTTCTGAACCACTGTATGATAGTGTCATTATCGCTATTTAACAGATGGAGAAGAGGGGGCATAGATCAACTAAACAAAATGCTCCCAGAGAATGACATCCTGGTTGGTAGGAGCAGAGCTTCATCTGTGCCTGTCTGCTTCAGGGGGATGTTGTGAGAGTTAATCAATGTTTGCAAACTGTTTTGAGATACTATAATAACATGTGGAATAGAAGTGTGAATTATTAATTGGTACTTTGCTCTCCTGCTCTTGGGTATACTGACAAGCTGTTTAAATTAACACCTTTTCCTACTCCTCCATGATCTTCAAAGGCCTCCTTTATTCTACTGTTGTACGCTCCAGTAGCATATCTGTTTGGGTTGTGTCAGATATTCCTCCATGCATAAAGATCCTTTCAGTCAAGAAGGGTCACTCTGCAGGCTAGGAAAACAGGAATGTGACCTTCGGGGAAAATGTATTGACCTGGCTTTAACGCGGAACAGCTTAAAATGTGCCATCCTTCCTGAATAACAGTTCTGCAAACAAACTGCAATTTGAGATGAGCCTGAAGTTGTGGGTTTATAAAGATTAACTTCAGTTGTACTTAGGGGTGGAATCACTGGGGAGACGGGGGATGGAATGGGGGGAGGGGAAAATTGTGGCCCCAGGATTTAGTTGTGAAAGTGGGAGAAGATCAAGTTTTTGAGAATGTGTTCCCACCCTGCTTTCTCCTTACCACTTATAACTAAGTGTTGTACACCTTGCAGAAGCTTTGTATGTTGTGAGAAAAGCATCATTTTAAAAACTAGAACCATGAAAATTTAGCAGCAACTCAAATAATTCTCTAATTCCCAACAGTAATTACTCATAGCTCTCGCCCCTGCAATGGTAAACTTCAGAGACGTTCCTTTAATCCCACCCCAGCTACACAATGGTTACCTCCAGTTTCCGGCATTGTAATAGTACAGTCTTTGTGTGGAATATAGTGTATTCATCTAAGTATGCACCTGAGTTTTAGGATTGGATAGAGGGTATAACTGCTTGGATTATCCACTTGAGTTGCATATATGAATTGAGCTTTCGAGGGGGTTATTCCAGTTTAAACAACACTTGATTGGAAATTTCTGCTCCGGTTCTATACTTAATGGATTTTAATCCAGGGAAATTCCTTTCTCCCACATACTGGATATTTTATTTAAAACTCCTTTTCATGGCCCTTTTGTTCTAAGTTTGCTAAATACCTTTATCAGCTTTAACCACATTGCCTAGAAAAGGGGGCTTACTGCTGGAACCAGGTGATCTTTAAGGTCCCTTCCACCTGCAAGCATTTTATGATTCTATGAAAACCTTAAAAGGGTGTTTGTAGATCTGAGAGATGTCCAGCCTCTTCACATGATCTGCCTGAAGCTAAAAGCAATTATCAGCAGGTGATGACTTGGGTAGTGTAAAAATCAGTTTTATGACCTAGGTCAAATATTAGACAAGGTCACTAGGGGCTCACCATGTTTGTCAACACCTTTAACAGTGGGGAAAAAGGGGAAAAAAAAACAGTCTGGCAGTAATTGCCTTGCCCTGAAAGCAGTTCATTGAAGGCAGTAATAACAACATGGAAGTAACTTTGTGTCTTCAGCTCATATTATGTCTGTTCTGTAGATAGGTGTACTTCTGGATGCTGGTGGTAGCCTTCCTGCAAGGTGCAGCTTACTCTCATGATGGAGGTGCTGTTCTTAATGGGAGTGACTTATTGGACTCTTGCTGTAATCCTTTTTTTTTTTAATACGTATTTTTAGGTAATTCCAAACTCAGTATGTGCACGTAGTAACAGCTACTTTCAGTCAGTGGCTGATAAGGGAAGCTGGAAATTGAAGCTGTAAATGGGATAGGTTTTTTTTTCTCACCTGTGCAGAAATGAAATATGAGCTCTTAACAGTTGTGTCCAGATATTTTTATCTTCACTTCATGACATTTATGTCAAATTAACAGTTCTAGATAAGGGTGATGACATGAGTGTGCAGTTTCTTTGCCTGTGCTTCAGAACTTCGAAACTAGGTGATAAAATGTCATGCTAGAGGAACACAGGTGTAAAATAAAGGACATTCTTTCTCCCCTTGTTCTTGAGGCTAATTAAATTCTCTCAAACTGTCATTAGTAAAAGAATTCCTTTCAAATACATTTTCCAAAAGTTTTTAACAGCATGTAGGTGTTTGAAATACACTATATACTTTGGCATGTCATGCTGTGTCCAGGCTACTGAATTGCATTAACTTTTCGTAGATATCAGTTTCATTTAATTAATTGTTCAGAAGCTTTCTCCTGCTGGATTGCAGGTGCCAGCCCCCAGTCTTTTTGCTGTCAATGGAGGGAATTCAAATAAAAGGCACAAATAATCATAGAATCATATAATGGTTTGGTTTGGAAGGGACCTTAAAGCTCATTCAGTTCCAACCCTCTGCCGTGGGCAAGGACACCTTCCACTAGACCAGGTTACTGAAAGCTCCGTTCATTAAATCTGCCTTCTGACAGTCCACAGCCATCCCTCCTTGTCCTGTCACTACATGCCCTAGTCAGAAGTCCCTCTCCAGATTTCCTGTACCCCCTTTAGGTATTGGATCCAAGCACCTTGTATAAAAGTGTCTCTATCCAGATGTTGTAGCAGCTTAATACACAATCAATGCTGTAATTCACCTAAAGGAGCACATTTTCAGTGGAGGCAGTTCCCTAGAGCAGGGTCACCAAAGGTCTGTTGAAAAGTTTTACTGACATCTGCTCAAGAAGAATAAATGCAGTGACTCCAGGTCAGCCAGATGTCTCTGTAGCTA